TTACATCGTATGCCTGTTCGAATCTATGGAGGATGCGAAATGCGCTCCTGACAGCCTAGCAAGTTCTGTATCTCCTTTCGGCATGCGCTTTGCACCTTCAAAGTGCAAAGTGATGCTACAAGACTGGGTGTCGTCTACTCCACCGCTGATGCTTGATGGTCAGGAATTAGCTGTAAGGGAATGTTTCACATACTTAGGTAGCTGCGTTTCAAACGACGGTAGCATACTCAATGAAGTAACTGCCCGCATTTCCAAGGCTCGAGTAGCTTATGCAGGATTGAAACACCTTTGGTGTAGACGCGATGTTTCGTTGAAACTGAAAGGTCGCGTTTACTGCGCCACTGAGTGGCCAGTTTTGCTCTATGGTTGCAAGACCCGCGTGGAAGATATTCGTCGTCTTAAAGTATTCGACGTTTACGATGTTTACGTAGTTTGGTGCGGGTTGGATGGAGCGAGCTTGTAAGCAACTCTGAGGTGGGGCGTCGCGTATTTGGTGATGATTCGATGGAGAATTCGTTGTCCCATCGAATTCAGATTAGTCGGCTTCGCTGGTTAGGGCACGTATTGCGCATGTCCAGCCATCGTCTGCCGCACCGCGCCTTATTCGCAGTTGCGGCTCCGGGTTGGAAGAAACCGCGTGGTGGTCAACAGATGATGTGGAAGCAAGACATGAAGAAATGCACAGCGATTAGGTAGAATCGGTGTCTCCTGTCTTCCAGGTTGGGGTCCGAAAGACTATAAGTGGTTGGCTGGAGACATTAAGGGATATGGCGACTAACCGATAACAGTGGCGTTCTTGTCATTTCTTGACAAGGCAGAATGCTTGAAAAAGGTATGAATGAACACTAAGATTGTGTGCTCTGTGTGTTGAACATAGAGGTTCTTTTTCTTTGCCTCCCTCCAAGTAGGCCCAATCCCTCTCCATCTTGTGCTTTATCACTTGATTAGTGTACATTGTGAGCTTGGCAACGATCAGTGAAGCTCGCTTCACCGTATCTCGCTGTACGATGATGATAATGATGCAATTTCCCCCATTGTTCGTTGTTCACATAAATTTGTGCAATAGAAGTTTACGTACCCTTATTTATAACTCTGTCGTTTTAGTGGCGTCCGTCCATTTGGCGTTTCTCTCCTGATTGCCGGTTGGGATTACGATAACAAACGTGCCTTTTTATATCAATGTGATCCTTCGGTAAGTTCCGGCCTTCATCTCCTTTCTGGTGCTCCACATAGTTGATTTCATGAACGGTCAAAGTCATTATTTCAGTTAACAATTCTGGATACTATTTTAACTATACTGATCAGTATTAACATCTAATTAAACGGACGGTAAAATTCTGCTGAATAAAAACCCAACAAAATAATTCGTTCTGCACGATGACCCAAGCAACTAAAACTAGCGCACACAAGTGCAAAGTCCATAGATGTACCCGCCGAAAGTAATATATATATATATATATATATATATACATTGAAAAAGTTCCATGATTTGCTCATTTGCGCGATACTGCCACTGATGCATTGCACAGAAGGTTATTGCAGTGTGGTGCGTATCATTCAGAATGCGAACAAAACTTCCAATGATGTTTGTAGTCGGTTTTTTGTACAATGCTGGTCGTCTGGCAGTTTGACAGTAACTTACATCCTTCACGCAACAGTGACTAGACAGCTGAAAGCTTTCGTTTACGAAGGCAGCGGTAATCAGCTTATAGAGACTAACTTTCCTGAAATCCGTGTATTGCACGACAATCGGTTTTCGTCCACTGTTGCCAAAATAAAGAATCACTCCTTATGATCGTGAATGTGATCATGTTTTTTCCAAGGTACGAATTTCCACCACGACTATTAAAACCGATTGGTTAACCTGCTCCATGAAAAGTCAAATTTTAAGCATGTCTTATCGAAATTTACTGAATATTCCGGGGAATCGATTTCCAATGGTTATTTTCCTAACAGATCGAATTCCCCAGTTAGGTCGATGGATTTGCACTGCTGATGAGATCCAACCAGACCGAAACAGCTGCACAGAGCTTCCTATCTTTTCAGTTCTCGCTTCATTTGCTCTATACACGACGAATTCCCTCTTTGATACCGAATTCGGTTAAAGGCGGCAAAACTGTCTTCCCATGCAGACTAAATAATCTCAACTCCCTCTCTCTTGTAAGAGAGTAGAACAAGTTCAAGGATAAATTGAACACTAAATTGAAACAGACAACACGTCACTTTCATATGAAACCTCGAACGAAGGGTCGTTTTTTCGAAGAGTACTCTAAGCTGTCTTTAATTCTCCATTAGACTGCTCCTATCCACTTTCTGATTTGTTTCCTGTTTTCATTTTATTACTTCTCTCGCTTGCTTTTTCAGCCTTGTTCTGACTAATCGCCTAAAAGTCAAAGTAAATAATTAATTCACGGAAGTACTGTCACCCACAATCAAAACGTTAGTTAGAGTGCATGAAGCGCGAAGTAGCCCCTTTACATAGTTTTTTTCGGTTCACTCCTTCAGGAAGATCCTTTTTATACTTAGATGATCCGTTGTTATCTGCCTTGTTTTTTTTCAGGGCACATACTTCCCGTGGAAAGCGACTGCTTTGGGTCACAATTCCCAGAATGGAAAATCGTTCCTAGAGAAACGGTATGTTTGTTTTACATAACTCTTTTCCTAACTCTAACTAAATATGTTATCCAAATGGGAAACCACTAATCTCAATCACGCATGCCCGTATTCCGTCTTTTACTGTTTCCCGTGTTTTCTCATCTGATATCGCTTTCAGTTTTGAGAAAATTTCAATAGAGTACGGTTACAATAGGTCCTCCTTGTTGATTCTCGTTTTGGCAAAGAGGTTATCGACAGGTGGGAAGGTAGATAGGGAAAGTGACAACGACGGTAGACCAGTAATTGCAAAGTAGACGTTACGGATAAAGCGAATTCCTTCACGTTGCATACGGTAGCGCATCAAAGGAGATAACCGCTCACATTTCCAAGGCTTGAGCAGCGTACGCAGGACTTAAATACCTGGGGCGGCGACGTGACTTTTCACTGAAGTTGAAAATTCGCGTCCACTGC